CTAGATTTCTACCGGGTCTGGGCGCTGAAACTTTCCGAAATCACAAAAGAGTTCCCTTACCGGGTGTGTATACTTCGTGACTTTGTTCCCGGTTACCGGGTCTGTATACACTTCGTTGGCAAAAAAGTTCAAGTGCAGGCTGTAACTGTAGAAGGGTCAAGACTAGATCTAGGACTGGGGGGACTCACAATTAATATCTCTGTAGATGACAGAACTTACTCCTAGAGATTATTATAACGAAGGCCTTATTTAACTTATTATAAATTATAGCTCAGCCAAATGGCAACTTTTTAGGCCTTCCCTCAGCAGTCAGTCAGAGAGAAAAATAGATTCTAATCTAGAAAATCTAGCTAAGCCAAACACTTGTTTGAGAATCGAGGGTATGAACAAGTCTATCTCTTCGTGAAAGTAAGTAAAAGCACGTTTTAATACGCACCTTTTACTAGGCAGAAAACGGTGGACTCCATCTTCCTGTTATGTCAACAATATATCTGGGGGAGTAAATTTCATTGACTGCATATCGGCAGTCGCCATTTTGGATTACCACTCACAGAAAGGAAAAGTACCGCAAAACAATAGCAAACTGATTTAAGAAAAAAACCCGGTATAGTCTCTTTTTAATAAAAACTATATGTTTCTTAAAATTTTTCAGCGTAAATCAATCGATAATTGACAAATTGAACTCACGAAAAAGCAACAGTCACTCAGTAGAAATCGCGTCAATTTCGGTTATTTTCGATTATGATGTCGATTCCCGTCACGCGATCTTGGCCTACGGTGAAACAGAAATAAATTTGAGAGCTTCATTTATCATTTGAGAGTGCTTCAATGAACAATGCACACGCTCACAATGTCTACGCGTAATGTGGTCTCGGACTAGTCTACTTCAAAGAACTACTTTTCAGTTATTTAACAGAACTTGCAACAAACTGTGATTTTTATTTTTTTTAAATGTTTGTGCTGCTGTTTTTTGTTTTGTTTTAGCCTACTTGACCTAGCATGTGAGATATGCAAGCGGAGCAAAATATATTAATATCTCTAGCCTACATGCTACAGCACGGCGACACAAATTGAATAAAGCAATAAAAGAAAAGAAAGACCAAAGAAGGCAAAAGGAAAAAGAATGGGGAAAGGAGGTGGGGGTTGAAAAGCAAAGGAATGAAACAAACGCAGTGTGATGG